GGAGGAGGTGGAGGACGGCGGTGAGCGACGTGTGGCGGCGGGGCAAGGTGCGGTCGGGCGTGAGCCCCGATCCAGATCGGGAGGGGGCGAGAGGGACGAGGGAGTGGGGGTCTCCTCGATCCAGATTGGATCGGGAGGGGGGAAAGTGGGGCGACATGGGGTTAGGGTTAGCGGGTGTGAGGGGATAAGGGAGTGGGGTGGGTCGGCCGGCTGGGCCAGTGGGCTGGCCTGGCTGTCAGCTGGGCCGGTTGGCCCTTTGGGGGGGTCCCTTTTCTTTTCTTTTGTTTTTTTTATTTATACCTTTTATTTATTTTACTCTTCTGTTTTAAATCATTTTAAATTACTTAGGCATTTTATAAAAATGGGTTTGTTGCACCATAATTACCTTTGTAATATTTAGTACAATCCAAACATTTTTGTTTTAATTTTTGCAAACTTTTATTGTTATCATTAATTTGAATTTTGAATTTTGGACCGGTTTTCTCCTAACGATAGCTTAGCAGCAGTAATCATGGTGACGTGGCATCATTCGCGTGGAATTACTGTAGCCTAATTATCCGGGCGTCACAACTAGCTAGCATGATGTAATTAAATTAATTAGATTCTTAACAAATGTAGAATAATGGTAGAACGAGAAGGAGCATGCAATGGGATTCAGAAGCCAACAAATTATGCAAACATGGTAGAGCAGAGGACCCCTAGCATTGCCACTGGATTTACAATAAATAATCAGTTAATCACTAGGCATGCGAGTTGACTTTCGGTCCATCGAGGCTCCCTCCAACAACTCTCATCTCTTAGGTACACGTGTATATATATGGTGGGATCTCCCTCATGGGTATTTCAATTGTTGGTGATGGTCATCATTGTACCTCCCCTCTTGCTTTACCATTGTCTTAGGGGAGGAGAAACAACAGTGACCACCTACATCGACAGTCGGCATCCGTCAACTAGCTCTAAACGGTTGACCTTACAGGTATTTCGACAATCGGTGATGGTCGTTCCTTCTTTTCCTTCCTTGTTACCAAGGTCGGCACGGGAAGGAAAAAAAGAATGACCACCTACGACAACCGTCTTGGGAAACATAGTAGAAAACCAAAAAAATCGCACCTATGATCACCCAAGATCACTTTGAAGATGCATAACGGGTTGGGATCACGATCGTTACCGTCACCGAGTTGCGGCAGAAGAAGAACGTGTCGGTGTAGATTGTACTTGGAGTTCCTCTAATCATCATTGAACGATCCCTCGTACCGCCCATGAACAATCACTTGAACCGAAGACCGAAAGCACGACCTCTCTACTTGGTTGCAAGCGTGCAGCCTTCACGATCCAGCAGCGCTTCGTCATCCAGAGATAATCGTCGCCGGAGAATTAGAGGGAGGATATTAGAACCACACTGAGATTCTAATTATGAGGACAAGAGGATTAGCCTATCTCTAATTAGTCAACTAGGACCAACTAGAACTAGAACTATAAAACTAGAGGAGGCTCCATAACTTGTATGGAGCTGCAGTGGTCGTCGTTGACCCTTGAATAGATCTGAAGCAACTGACACAACATCTCGTGATCGTGCATGTACGATAAGAACCCTAACCACACCGCCTCAATGAGACGGCAGTAATCTATGCGTAGGCTCCCTTGACTATGCCAAGATGTACAAACTTGAGTAGGATTGGATCCAGAAGAGAAACTCGAAGAATAAGTGCCGCCATCTGCCCAAAGCGCCACACATGTGAGGATTAGAAAGCCCTAACCTAAACTACTAGCTGGAGTGAAGGCACTGTGACTCTCCTCCCTGCCACTAGCAGACAAAGAGGAAGCGATCTATGGGCTCGCCGACGAAACATTGGGGAGAATTTGTCCTAGCAGCCGAGGGGAAGAGAGAGGGGTGACGGAGGAATCGTACCATTTGAGCCTTTTTTTCATATATTTCCCGATGGTCTGGAAAACGCGTGGAGAGAAAGTCACGAATAAACACAGTAGACATTTCTTAGACATATTGATATCCTTCTGATCAGATCATCTCATTCATTTTGCCCTTTCATGAATCATATGTTTAGATTTGTGTTTGGTAGCTTGTTAGCACTTAGCAGTGAATTCGGCATAATTATTTGTCGGTCGCATATATAACAAAGAAAATATAGCAAAACTACTTAAAATTCTACTAGTATGTCTTTTTAGGGAACTTAAATTCTAGTATGTCAGTACGTGTAAATAGATATCAAAAAGGAAAGATACATGGCAGATGGCAAATCTAATTAAACGACTGCGTCGGTGTATAGTGTACACATTAGAAGTAAATATCGTCCAGACAATTTGTTGGATTCTGAATACTGGCTAGCTAGGCTGGCTGCTCGGCAGTCAGCACACACGTGGTCTGCGACGCGGAGACCCGATCATTCTCTTCCACGACCTCGCCGTCCTCCCCGTCGGCCTCCGCCGCGTCGCTGTTCTCCAGCCGCTGCCGCTCGACGCGATCGCTCCTCCCCTTCTTCGCGGGCACCACGTCGTCCGCCTCCCGGAAGTCCTCCATCCTGAACTTTGGCTTCCACAACGGCGGCTCCGCCCCCCTGGCCCGCTTCCTCGACGACCCGCCGGCGCCGTAAACGTCCCTCAGTGCCCGGATGTTGGCGAGCAGCGCGTAGAACCTCTCCACCTGCTCGTCCTCGCCGCTGCCGCTCTCCTCGGGCGTGCCGCTGCCGCCGGCGACAAGCAAGTCGGACAATGGCGCTCGCGGCACCTCCGGCACGGACGTCGTGGACTCGCCGTCTCTTGCCACTGGTGAAGCCTCGTGCCTGTCCGCCGCGGTGGCATCCATCGCCTCTGGGGCCCGGCCGATCGTCGTGGTCCGGCGGATTGCACGCGCGCGCGAGAGAGAGGGAAAGAGGGAGGGAGACAAGACAAGACAGAGAGGATGAGTCGGTGAGGCTGTCGAATAATACGTCGGGCTAATTTATAGGCGTGCCGGCCGCCGTGGGTGCTGGCGTCGACTGTTCATATTGACGTGCTCCTGGCGATGAAAACACCGAAGACTTTGGGCACTCCGTGGGCATAATTGAATACCACTAGTACTGTATGAGTACTACTCGTACGCAGGGAGTAAAATTCACCGTGTATTTTCTTCAAGAAGAAACGACCTACTAGTAGTGTAAATACAATTCAAAGTCCTCGCAGCAAAAATAAGAATACAATTTCGAGTTGACACTGGCGCTGAATGAACCTGGCTAGTCTCCCCGCAAAAATCAGAAGAATGGACCTGGCTAGTCAAGGCAGGTTAGGGAGATTAATGGTTTGATCGATCGTGTGCCTTTGCTTAAACCATGACCCGGACCCGGTCTTCAATAAAGAAACCGGACGGCGCTGGCTGTGACAACGAACGGGCTCTCGCTCCGGTCCCGTCAGAGAAAGGGCAAAGGGAAGAGCACCTCGTGCTCTCTACAGAAAGGGAGAGACCGTCACGAGGAAGACGGGTGAAGACGTCACGAGGCATGACGTAAGCGCGGTTGGTCATTGCCCGTGAGTCAGCGTGCATACTCGATCGATCGGGTCGTGGTGGGGTCGTACGGCAGGAGTTGTATATTTGCTGGCTGCGTCGCGCCGGTGGGTAGAAGCGACGCGTGCGATGCGCCGCTTGATCCAACTGGTCACACCAGGACCGGACTGGTAATATGAAAATAGTGTGGTACGGCCCTGCGCAATTCCTGTGGAATTTTGGACCATCGATAGTTCGACAAGTGCGTGTACGAAAATATACTATCTCCTGTACGCCGAGCACGCGGTGATTTCGCATACCCTGTGCGCCAGGAGACAGATGGATCCCACACCTGTCCAAATGTTTGGGGACAGACGACCTGGTCACTGACGGGTCATAAAAAAGCCACCAAGACAGAAAACGGGACTTAAACGTTCGAGCTGACCGACACCCTCATATCTAGGCTAAATCTAGAGCGGATATGATGCGCTCGGGTATGTCCGGGCGCTCCTCACGTTGGACCCGGCAGTCCTACCCCATCATAAATTGCATCAAATCCACCAAATCCTTCGTACTTCTCCCGCCTCCCTCCAACCTTTCCCGAGCTCGAGCCCTCGTCGTCCGCCACCCTTGCTCTCCATCCTCATCGCTGGTCCCAATCCGCCACCCTAGATACCGTCCAGCCCGTCCCCGACCGCCGTGACAGAGGCTGCGTCCGCCTCGTCCGTTGACGTCCCGTCCTCGGCTTTGTCGTGCAAGCCGAAGAACATTTGCCCGGAGGAATTGGTGAGTCCTACAACAAGAGAGGAAAGCGGCAGCGGCGCGGGGAGCAGATGCATACATGGACGAGCAGCTCCCCGCCCCTTCCCCCGCCGCGCTCGAAAGCCCGCACCCCATCCATCCGACCGCCAACAAGGATTGCATCGTCGGCCCAGGTTGGGACAAAGGAGGATCTAACGGACGGTTGGGGCAAAAGCGCGGGAATCGGGGGTGACGGGGCTGTGCACGATATGTTCGACGAAATGACACGACAAGAGTCGATATGTTGTTGTTGCTCCTATCTGATCAACTTTGCATATGGCATGTTCAATGTTTTGTATAGATCATAAGTTCATTTCGGACACGATGAATGCCTACAAACCATGATCATTCAGGAGGTGTTCCTGTCAAACATGATCAATGATAATCAAGGCCCGACCAAAATGGACTACGAATTGGGGGGTCCAACTTGCCCTTCATTTCAAGTTGGGACAACATCAAATCCTAATCCGAGCAAGAAGAAGAAGAAGAAGAAGGCAAAGACAACAAAGGTAAGAGGTCCTGCATTCTCAACTTTCAAGGATATTTTGTTGGTCAAGTTTGGCTGGCAACAACGATGGATCAAATATGCGGCAACGAGCAAAAGGGAACATGTATTAGGAGAAGATTTGGAAGGAATATATGTCATGAACAAAAGGAATATGTGGAGCCGCATCATATCGTCAACAACCGTAAAGTTGCATCTCTTCAACATCGATGGGGGTCGTTCAAGGGGAAGTGAACAAGTACGTCGACTACTACTCACAAGTGACCGGCCACCCTCAAAGTGGGATGGGAGTGGCAACTCATGTAAACTCAATTGCTTCATCTTGTCATCATTTGCTAATGCTTCTTGTGTTTGCATTCTCATGCTCATACATATTTTGTTTGCTAGATGACAATGGCGGCCATTATGTATCACGAACGGAGAAGAAGCCATTTGCTTTTAGCCGTTGTTGGATCATATTGAATGGCGGACTAAAGTGGACAAAACTTGTGGCCGATCTCAAGGCCGGCAAGAAGAAGAATGATGGCTCAAGCTCCCATCAATCAATTGGGTTGGATGATGAAGAGGAAGATATTGTCGTGGTGAATGTGAGGGCCACCGTGCCAAAGGATATCCGGAAAGTCATGGGAAACAAGTGGAGAAGGCAAGGGCCTCCCGTGACGTCGTGGCTACAAAAATGTCCTCCACATGGATGGGCATTTTTTTAGTGAGGGATAACAAGAAAGAGGAGAGGTACAAGCTCATGTTCGATGAACAAACAGAAAGGATGGATTAGGACTGGAAGAGGGCGGAGAAGAAGTTAGAAATTGAGAGAAGATCAGGTTGGAGAAGCAAGAGGGGGTGACCAAATGGGAGCTCGAGAAGGCCAAGACATTGGGAGAGATTGAGCTTGAGAAGGAGAGATTGCAACTCGCACGGGACGTGAATGATGTGAAGATCATGTTGGCGGACGAAACCCTCTTGGATGAGCATGCAAAGAAGTGGCTTGAGGAGAAGAAGGAGATCAGCAACCATAGGGAGTACGAGGTGGTGAGTGTGGCTACGGCGGCAGTGGAGCACGCGACAAGGATGTAGGCGGAGCATGCGGCCCGGATGCAGGCAGAATAAGATACAAGGATAGCCTCGGAGCAGGCAGTATGGATGGCATCCAATGTGTGATACGCTCAGCCAGCAAGGGATCCATCAGGATCGGACATTGATTTCAGTTTGGCATGTCCAGATTGTTGAGCTATGATTTGTTTTGCTTTGTTTTGAACTGTTGAATTGCGACAACTTGTACCGTATGATCGACGTGTATGGATTGCATGGATTTGAGGCTCCGCATTTGAGGTGTTTGAGTGTGCGGCAATCCATATGAGGGGCCGCCCAGCACTCTCCATGGACTCCCCCGGACGCGCCCGCGGGCATATATAGGGGGGTGGATTTGCCAAGTCTAGATATAGATGCTCTAGTGGGAACCTTTCGAGACTTTGGGGATGCCACCTGCCTACGCATAAACCCCTCAAAGTCTTCGGTCGCACCCATACTGTTGGGGATATTACCACTGGGCGTGAACCGGCCTACCTGGGCCGGGTTAACTTCATTAGTAGTGTAAAGGTGATTAAGCAGATGAAGGCCCAAGGCCTGTAGTCGGTTTAGAACCTGTAGCCTTAAACCGGCTTGGTATGTAAACTTGTATTATAAGTTAGGAATAGAGAGAGACCAACCGGGATACGAGTATGAACCGGTGTGGGACTCTGTGGACCGACGGGTGTCACCCGTGTATATAAGGGGACGACCCGGCGACGGTTCAAGGACAGACAACAACAACTCGAGCCTAGGCGAAGCTTGTTTTGCTCCCTAGCCATCGAAACCACATCAATTCCATCACAACTAGACGTAGGCTTTTACCTTCATCGAAGGGGCCGAACTAGTATAAACCCTTGTGTCTTTGTGTCCGCTTTAACCCCTTCAAGTTAACCCGTAGCGATGGCTCCACGACTAAGTCCTTTCATGAGGACATCTGCCGTGACAAATCCACGACAGTTGGCGCCCACCGTGGGGCTATCGCACGATGGTTTGATGATCTTGGAGGGCAAGCTCAAAGGACTCGAAGGCTATGTTGTGGGCCGGATGACCAAGAGTCGTCGCGGCAAGCTCTACATCGACGATGCAGGATGGGGTCCCCTTTGGTGGCATACACGTTTTTATCGGCAAGATTGGTGAGCCTGGGCCTGAGCCGGACATCCGCACCGACCTTGTCGAGACGGCTCAGCGTGCAAGGTCTACCCAGGTTAAACCGGCCGTGAAGCGTGCCTTCATGGGGGTCATCCACGGAGGAGAGTATGGGGACGAGTCAGAATACGGTAGCAAGACCGTCGTCTATTCCGGCGACGAATCCTCAACCGGAGAAACCGAATCATTGTACCAGTTGCACGACGACCAGATTAGGGCTGTTCCAATGGCGACAGTATTCCGGACCCCCCTGAGCAGATCAACCGGGTTGGAATATTCATGGCCAGTACACAGGCGGCGAATCACTCCTCGACTGTAGCAGCAATGCTCTCCGGATCAGCAGCGGCAGCGGCAGCAGGGGCAGGAGGCCTTGTGCGCCCACCGGTTCAAGTTTTGTCTGACCTGTTTGATGCACTGGTTGTACTTATGGCAGAGGCCAATCCGGCGGATCAGGAGGCCCATGATGCAGAGATTGCAAAAGTGAGAGAGCAGATCGCACAAGCCAAAGCCGACTTGGCAGCAGAAAAGGACAGGATGGCCGCAGAGCGGGCCGCTTTGGACGCACAGGCCTATAAACTTATGCTCGACCAGAACGCATCACAGGAAGTCTTGAAGCGGAAGCACAGATCATGCCTACCGTTAGGGTTCGACCCTCGAAATCTCTTTCACACTCCGGGAGCGGGAACCAGTAATCCGCCGGGGCACCTGGAGGTAAACCGGGTCGAGGCACCAGGGCCAGGAGCGACGGTCCAACCCCGCCTGATGGAACCTCCCCGGCAGAACATTGTGATTCCTCCGCCGGTCCAGACACCTCCGGGTCATTATT